GTCGGATTTAAGGGGGGGGGGGGGCAGGCGGCCCGGGCCCCTCTAAATTTGCCAAATTAAAATAAAACATTAAGTAAAAAGAAACTTTGACTAAAATTTTAAGTATAGGAGTGCCATTTCCGGCCATCTAGAGGTACCATAATCATAAATTTTCTTCGCCCAATCATGTTTGTGCTGAGGAAGTATAGACCTTCCACCTGTGAAAAGTCCCTCTTCAGGGCCCCTCTCTTTCAAATTCCTGTATCCTGTATCTTTTTGCAAAAGAGTATCCAGTGCAAGATGTTTGGGAGAGCAAGATTTCTAGGAGGGGGTATTTCTTGTGCTCTTATTTCCTTCCCAATGCATCACTGATCCCATTATATGATAATGTATGATATATAAATGAAAAATGATGATCGATTTGCAATTTTTTTTTGTAAAAACTAATTTTCGACAGCGGCCATTTTGAAATTCAAAATGGAGGCCCTAAAAGTGAATAAAAATAGCTGGCACCCATTTTTTCTTATTCAATTAATTTGTTAGATATGTTTAGACATGTTTGCCAAGAATCTGCCCAAAAATTGTTAAAACAAATTTTTAAAATATGACATGACAACAGACTATTAGAATAACATACACCTCCGAATGGTGTTAAACTGTGAATTATTAGGCCTGGGCCCTAGGCCCTAGGCCCTAGACCTAGCTCAGATCAACAAATTTTTAATTAAATTAATGGTACTATTTTAATTAGCATTTGTTTAATTAACACTGTTACCAACAAAACAACATGGTATCCAAGTATTCAAATTCGAGGTACTATGATATGTACCATTTATTTCATTTTTTTTAATTTCACATACAAAATACAGTAGAGCTTATTTCTAATTATGGTGTACAATAGTAATGAAATACCTATGTGCTAATTAATTAATGTGTTAATTAAAAACTAGAACCATATGAAAAAGTTCATGACAGGTCTACTGACATATAAACATACTTATTTTTTAATCAAATACAGGTCCTCAGTAATGGAATTTCATAAACGTGCATTTTGCAGTCTATGCTGCATTTGTGGTAAAAAGTTTAGAAAAACTGGAAAGGAACAAAAGTACAAAGTAAACAATTTGGAAAGGAACCTGATTAAATTATTTTCACTTAACATAATAGAGGAAAAAGATGATGTACACCCACACTATATTTGCCACACATGCCATTCAAAGGGGTGTCTTGGACAAACCAGCATTCAATTTTAGAAAGCACCACATTAAATGCGTCACATGTTATTTATTAAAAGAACAATTAAAAACTGGCCGCAGACAAAAAAAAACATAAATAAAAAATAGAAGTGTTACGTTCGTCTAGTGGTGGTATGAAGTTTGATAGCAAATAAAGTAGGCTAAATCCAACGATCTTTTCTTCAGTCCGTCTTTATTCAAAAGCAACCATCTTCAACATAGAGGGCGCAGCCTCATCACACCCTCCCCCTTAAAGGTTCGATCTCATTGAGAACCTTCTCAATAATACTGTATAACGATGCTGTTTTTATCTATAAAACTTTACATAGCAAACACTGTTTATATTTTTATAATTTTAACCGATGATTTATTTTAACGGATTAATAACAACTGTATTAAACTAAATCCTTGACAATGCGTCAGCCACTACATTATCTTTTCCACTTATGTGGCACATATCTAAATTCCACTCCTGCAATGCCAAGCTCCATCTGAGTAATCGCATGTTCTTGTTTTTCATCTTCTGAAGAAAAAAAGAAGTCTGTCCATATCTTAATCTTGTGAGAAGCTGCTCCCAAGTACACCTCAAAGTGCTGTAAGGCCAACACCAATGCTAGGGTTTCCTTTTCCACCGTTGAGTAACACTGCTGATGCTTATCAAATTTCTTTGAGAAGAAGCAGACTGGTCTTTCAATTTCACCATCATCCATCTGCATAAGTACTGCACCAGCTCCGATATCACTAGAATTTATCATTAAAGAAAATGGTTTAAAGAAATTTGAGGCCATCAACACCGGCTCACCAGTCAACATCATCTTCACATGCCTGAACGCATCCTCACACTCTTTTGACCACTGATATGCAACATTCTTTCGCAGAAGACTTGTCAGGGGTGATACTACCGAAGAGAAATTCTTACAGAATCTTCTATAATACCCTGCCATTCCCAAAAATCTCATTAACTTCTTCTTATCTGTTGGGGCTGGGAAGTTCTTTATAGTTTCTATTTTGGCATGTACCGGTTTCACTTTACCACACCCAACGACATGTCCCAAAAACACAACTTCTGCACATGCAAACTCACTTTTTGCAAGATTAACCGTCTAATTAGCTGTTTTCAAACGCTTAAACAACTCTCTGATTATCTCAACATGCACATCCCATGTATCACTGTAAATCACTAAATCATCAATGTATGCTTCACACCCTTCTAAACCGGATATCAAATTGTTCACTAGTCTTTGAAAAGTCGCGGGGGCATTCCTCATGCCAAACGGCATGACTCGATATTGATAAAGACCCATGGGTGTAACAAACGCTGACACTTGTTTCGCTCTTTCCGAAAGTGGAATTTGCCAGTACCCCTTCAGCAAATCAAATTTGCTGACAAAGTTAGAAGCACCAATGCGATCTATGCAATCCTCTAAATTTCAACTCTCTTATCACTCGGCAAATGATCAAGTTTCTCTAGTCTCTCAAGGACTTCAGAATTTGTCAACGCGGTACAAGGATCAGTATCAAATAATCTGTCTATCTCTTGATGTGATTCCGTTTTCTGACTAACACTACACAACACTTGTTTTGTCACACAACCTCCCTCCTTCTCAAAATAGGGTTTTAGCATATTAACATGACATAATCGTCTTTTCTGACGTCTATCAGGCGTATCTAATACATAGTTCACTTCACCAACTTTCTCAACAATCTCATAAGGACCAGAGAATCTAGCTGACAAAGGCTGACTCGGAATTGGAAGCATAACTAACACCTTCTCACCGGGACAGAAAACTCTCTCTTCACACTTCCTATCAAATAATCGTTTCATCTTAGATTGAGCTTTTAACAAATTCAACTTCGATAATTCTAACATGTTACTAGGTTCTTTAGCAACTAGCAAACTTTCTTTGAGTGCATTCATAGGACCGCGGACAGAGTGACCATAAATCAACTCAAACGGGCTGAAACCCAACGACTCCTGTACACTTTCTCTCACTGCAAAGAGAAGCAATGGTACCCCCTCGTCCCACTCACGCTCACTTTCGAAACAATACGTCCGCAACATATTTTTACGAGTTTGGTGGAATCTTTCCAACGCGCCCTGCGACTGAGGATGATACGCACTAAAATATACATGTTTCACACCCAGTTGATCAAGAACTTGTTAAAAAATTTTCGACATGAAGTTTGAACCTTGGTCCGACTGCACACTTTTAGGCAGTCCAAACATTGTGAAGAATTTGATCAATGCCTTCACTAGATTCTTAGCTGTAATTCTCCGAAGAGGAATAGCCTCAGGGAACCTACTTGACGCGCACATTATGGTTAACAAATATTCGTGCCCTGATTTAGTACGCGGTAACGGACCAACACAATCGATAATTACTCTCGAAAATGGCTCCCCAAATGCTGGAATTGGTCTTAGAGGTGCATTGGGTATCTTTTGATTGGGCTTGCCAACGATCTCGCATGCATGACATACTTTACAATACTTAGACACATCTTGTCTTAATGTAGGCCAAAAGAAATACTGAAGAATCCTTTCCTGTGTCTTTTTAACCCCAAGGTGACCTGAAAGAGGACCGTCATGAGCAACACTAATTACATCATTATGATAAATACGAGGTAATACAATCTGATGATATTCCTTCCAAATTTCATCTCATGGGACCTCCGGTGGTCTCCATTTACGCATGAGTATGCCATCCTTTCTATAGTAACACACTGGTACTGTAGATAACTCATCATCAGAAACTGCTCTCTGACTAACCGACAAAATCTCAGGATCCCTATTTTGTTCTACCAACAAAGCATCTCTAGTAAAAACATTTGGTCCAAACTCTCGCTATTGCTCTTTTTCCTTACACAAGGTTTGAATAACATTGGGTATCTGTGAGGAACCATCCCCCATCCCTTCATCTGAAAACACATCACTCAAAAAACTGTCACTCAAATCTACATCCTCTACATCAACATCTTTAGACTTCCTACACATAGCTCGAGTAACCACACAAGTAGCAAACGCATGAGGAAATTCCTCAACTAACTCTACGGTGCACGCGTCTTCAACAGGATGTTTTGACAACAAAGGCTTTGGAACTACCTTTTCTCCCGCGAGATCATTCCCTAAAAGACATTTCTGTATCTGATGATTTAAATTTAACTGTGTGATCCACAACATCATTATGTGTGTTCAAGACACTTAAAAACGCATTTGGAAAAGGCTTAACATCACCTTTCTTTTTCTGCAACAACCAACAATCTGACTTAACATGACCCTTTCTTTTACAGTCATAACAAACAATATCTCGCAAGGGCCTTTGAAATCCTTTACCACTACTTGTAGTAAAACCAGACTGATTTCTATTAGCTGTGTTCAATTTCGCTCCGCGAAACGTATCATCATTATGTGAAATCTTATTCACTGACTTATGTGTCAACACAAAATTATCAGCCATGGTGGCTGCCTTCATCAACTCATTAAATTTCCATTTTTTCAAGTGTGTACGCACCTCTGAAGACAAACAATTGTTAAACTCTTCAACGAGTATGAGCTCTCTAAGTTGGTTAAAATCCCAATTAACACCTTCGGAAGTACACCATCTATCAAACAAAACTTGCTTCTTTCTAGCAAATTCCATGAACGATTTATCTACATACTTCAGATTGCGAAATTTTTGTCTATAAGCCACCGGCACTAATTCATAGGCCTCCAAAATAGCCCTTTTAACAGTTTCATAGCTCTCACACAGATCATCCGACAATGAGGAAAAAACTTCCTGGGCTTTCCCAATTAAACCTGTCTGTAATAACACAGTCCAATTCTTGGCAGGCCATTTAAGCCTATTCGCCACTTTCTCGAACGCCATGAAGTAAGATTCAACCTCCTCTTCATTAGATTTTGGAACCCATTTAATGTTATGAGTGATCTCTGAATCAATACTGCTATTTGAACGACCAGAAAAACTACCCATTTCAATTTGTCCCATCTCTAATTTCTTTAGTTCTAACTGTTGTTTTCCTCTTTCCAAAACTTGGTCATTTCAAACTTCATTCGGTCTCTCTCTAATTCAATTTTAGCCAGTTCAATCTCACCCACTCCCTCACTTCCTGACGCTGCATTCCCTGCAGTCTCTTCAATAATCAAACCACGGTTAACACCAACCGCATGAATCAACTCATCTTTTTTCATTGAAGCAGTAATTTTAATTCCCAGCTTTTCAGCAATGAGTACAAGCTGATCCTTTCTTAGCGTACGTAATTTCTCAATGGATAAACTACCCACGAATTCATCGGTTATTTCACTTTCCGACATGATTCTATTTTAGCCTACCTTTCACAAAACAAGGTAATCTGACTCGGGAAGACAACAAAATGATATCTATAATCAACCACAAACCCTACACCGGGCTATACTAGTCCACACCTGACGCTGTCGCAAGCGTCACACCCGAGTGAACAACAATGAAGAACCACACCAACTGAAACCTTGAACGGCGCGAACGGGCCTAGCTAACCAACCGGAACTCGGTCACACAAACTTCAAAAAACTATTCTATCCAGCCTTATGGGCCTAGAAGTTATATCTACCTTTTCACCGACCTTCGATTCACGGATGAACCCCCCAATTTTGTTACGTTCGTCTAGTGGTGGTATGAAGTTTGATAGCAAATAAAGTAGGCTAAATCCAACGATCTTTTCTTTAGTCCGTCTTTATTCAAAATCAACCATCTTCAACATAGAGGGCGCAGCCTCATCACAGAAATGAAATTGGACAGTTTGTCAATGAGTCTAGCATATCTTACACAGCATTAAGTGATGGATTTCAACTAGCAGATGACAACCTTTCAACAATATAGAAATGTAACATCTGCAACAAAGTTTTGTCAGTTAAAAGTGTTGCCACTAAATGCAACCACTTCTATTGCAAATTTTGCTTAACCCAAGCTTTCAAAGCAATTGGGCGCCAAAGAGTACATTGCATTATGTGTAATGCTGATCTCAATGCACAAGACATAACTGACATACCACCACTTGTAGTAAATGCATTAATGAACGTCCAATACACGTGCAGCAAGTCTTAAGCTACATGAAACAAGTTTAATTGAAGCAACATCATTTTAAACTTCTATTGATGTTCTACACTCTAGTAAACTTACATTTTTCCAACCTGGTTGGGACCAGTAAGTTTATGATCACACAATAACACATTTTGACTAATAATTCGAGATGGCATCGCAGATTCCAGAAAGTTTGTAATCTTAAAACCAAAGTTGCTTTCAAGACACTTGGACCTCGAGATACGGTGGAAGAAATCGACGTCCATTTTTACTAATGTTTGTTGTCAACTCTCTGTCCTTGACACAACAAGTCTACCTGCATATTTACCATCTTTTGAACCTCCGGCGATCCTTGTTGGCCAAGTTGAAGCGGAATAAAAATTGGTAATCTGTGCATCCATATGATGTACCGTTGAAGCTAATTAAACAGTCATGTTTTGAGATTGCTCCACCTTTAAGTGCCTTTAACTGCGCTTTTGAAAGAAGGATCGTTTCCTGACCTATGAAAGACGGCTACGATTGTTCCATTACCCAAAATTAAATCTGCTATAGTGGTAACGATTTGAGGCCTACTTTTATCGACTCCTATTTACTTATGAGTTTTTAAAACATTTTTGGCAAAATAGATCGTTCAGGATATCAGCAACAAGTAGAAAGAGGGTATCGACTACCCACTATTTAGTTAACATGTTTGATTCGATTAATAAAGACAATGAGGGGGTAATAAGTAAGTTAATCTTTGCACCATTTTGCAAAGGCATGATTGGATTGATCATGATTTCATCATTTGAAAAATGATTAATATCGGCGTTCTATTAATTCCACTGTCTGTAGCTTTCTCATAAATCACACTATCATATATTAATTCATTGAAAATTTTATTCAATCTCGAAAATGCAAATTTTACAACATTATAATATAAATACAAAATATATATACTCAAAATAAAATTCACAAAGGATTTATTAGATCACGTAACAGTTGACATTACAAAGAGATCGTTGTTCAACAAAGTTCTGAAGGTAAAACAAGAGAATTGTTTAAAATGAGTAAAACAAAAAGTGGTAAAAACAGTTATACAAAATTGTAAAATTAAAAAAAATGAAAGCATAAAAAGAAAAATCGTCAGTCACAAATGTATTTAAACGTGTTAAAACAGTAAAATATTTCGAAAAATTTGAGAAAAACAATAAGAGTCGGTAGAGAGTAAGTAAAATGTTTTAAAGGAAATCATTGTTTACAGTACCGTGATAAATATAATTGAATAAAATATATTATAAAGTGACCATGTTAATCACTAAAATAAGTCAATACATGACGAATAGGAAATGTCTACACCCACCACCGAGTAATGTATAATCCATTTTTACCTTATTTTGTTACTATTAGTCCTATTTTACATGCTTTAACATAATAAACCAAATTATTATTGGCGCATGTTCTTTTTTATCTAAAAGGTAGTTTGACTTTTACTTGCAAAAGTTTTTCTGAAATTATAGTTAAAGACGTAGCAGTATTTAATATTATGCTTTAGAATACTTTGTTATATATGACTACTTGCAGCATTTGGCCGGCTGGGATTCACAGAATGATTATTTAATTGATACTCCCATAGGGGGTGATGGTCGTCAAATTTCGGACCCTCACCCCTTCTCTTCCCACCACCCTTAACATATTATAGTGCGTTTTAGCTAGCAAAAAGTGTACAGATGTAGGTGAAATAGCAGCATTTTCTTTTTAATGGGTGGGAGTAGACATTTATGAGAATAATTTTCTGCTAATATTAGGCTAGTCTCTCAAAAGATGGTAAGGTTACAAGACAGAAGACTGTTCTCCAAGTCATTTAAACGAAGACCTCCATTTTTTTTCTCAATTACCTATTTGGAAATATTTCGAAATCACGATAATGTAACCTTTCAACTTTAAGGCATACATATTATGGGATGGTCCCGCGAAAGAGTCTCGTGGGACGCCCGATTGGATAGGAAGAGACTAGAGAGAGAGACGAGTCTCGGAGGACCAGTGTGAGCAAGCTGCCTCTTGTGGTCACACATTAGACTAATAAAACCCATTTATGATCCGCTTTACATGGTGTCTGAATCTCTTTGTATTTCATCGAACACTATAGGGTCACAATAAAACGATTGCCTCTTTCATCACCTACATGGGAATAACATAAAGAATACCAAAGATAACTAAGTGTTTTCGTTTTATAGACATCCTCTATGGATGATATTGAAATTTAATTTAGAGTAAATCAAAACTTTACGAGAGCAGCTTAGCTCATTCGGCTAATCTGGTGGTAGCCACTGTGTGTGCGCTGAACCGTGGAGATCTCTAGGTCCCGGGTTCAATTCCCATCGCTGCCTCTCCTTGTGTTTCAGCTAGAGGGCCGAAATACAAGTTACAATAGCGCACCGTCTTTCGAATGAGACGTTTAAGCCGTTGGTCCCGTGTGCATTTATGGTCCATGTGCACGTTAAGGAACACAGTACACTCTTCGGAAAAGAGTAGGGGATTGTCTCCCGGTGTACTGTCCAATCACCACCAGAAGGACCCCACTGGAAATAAGTCTTCTTCTAGACTTTCGTGGGCTATCCTTGGTGTTTACACCGAATAAATCCAATCCAATCCAATCCAACTTTAGGCTAACTTACTTGCTACGTTTCAAAGCCATGTCATTGGATCTTCATAAGGCAATGCAACTACAGTAGCTGAATGCTAGTTGTCTTCAGAGTTGTCGGGGGTTTTCGACGACGTGCCAGCCACGTTACCAGCTGGATGTTCCCGAGGGCTCCGGCACTTCGGGAGAGTTGATATCATCATCTCTGTTCATGTTTTTTTCACCTCCTCCTAACGCAAATGGCTTCCAGTATTTTTCTTTGTTGCCATGTCTGTTCTTTTTGAATTATTTTTGACTCACTTTGGTGTGTGGTTATGTTGTAACATGTGATCCGTGATGGCCGACTTGTAATGATGCATACTCCCTGGACGCTCTAGTGCGAACTCCTGATGTGTGTTAGTTTACATTTTTTTTATGTTATGCTAGCCTCTCACTAAATAGACTCCAATTTTCACCAATACAATCCGAGTCACAATTAAGACATCTTACATCATAGATTGCTCCACAAACCTCATCTCTTGTCTTTCGGATGGACAGCCAGATTTTTCTTTTTTTTCTTCATAGGTGTAAAAACTGTTCGTATGCTATGTGATACGAGGGTTCGTCTGTTTTTCTCTGATAAGCCTTTGATGTATGTGTAGAATTCCCCCGCCCCCCTGTCATTATTGATTTTATTTCCCCTGAGCTTTCTTATTGTGTTCTCTTTCTTTACTGCTTCCTTTTTCTTTGTTTTCGTGTTTTCTGCCAGTCTTGGTAGTCACATCACTTTCTTGATGTTTTCCATCTCCATGTTTTGTTTTTGTTTGTTTGTTTGTTTGTTTTTCGTGTTACTAACTAAATGTTCGCATCTGATCTGACTGAAGTATTATGTAACATTCAATTGGCACGTGGCGAGACATTCGTTTCTTTCAAAGTTGTATCCCTTTTTACTAACATCCTAGTAGACAAGGCAATCATCGTCATCTTTTGGCAATGAAGAACAAGACACATGGTTTACTATACCTAAATCCCTCCGATACCTATAAGGAGGAATGTCATGGCGAAATGGTTTAGTTGTCGCACAAGCCAGTATTAAGTAATGTCGTCTACGAATACGCCGGGGGTTTGGCCTTGAACTAAGCCCCAACACTGTATCTCAGATAATGTAACTGGTATAGGCTCAGTTTCTGGTCCTGCCTCCAACACATGAACAGTATCGATCATGCTTTGAAGTTCCATTTTATGCAGTACCTCGTCCTATGGCTCTGTTGTTGGCAAGGGCCCAATCACCCCAATGAATTCAGGCTCTGGTTCATCAGGCCACTTT